CCACCTGCCACGACCACATAACGGCGGGACACCCAGGCATTGCCAAAACCAAAGAACTTGTCCTATGGGAATATTGGTGGCCGAAAATGGGAAATGATGTAGCGACATACGTAAAAGCTTGTGAGGCCTGCCAGCGAGGGAAGTCCTCCACACAAGCCCGAGCAGCACCGCTACACCCTAATGAAATACCCTCCTCCCCATGGACACATATCTCCGTCGACATGATCACCAGCCTATCCGAGTGTAACGGGTACGATGCAATCCTGATTATTGTAGACCGATTCTCCAAGGCAATCATCCCAATTCCATGTTCCACGGAATTAAACTCTGAGGGATGGGCCAAGATCCTATGAGATGAAGTATATGCCAAGCACGGAATGCCCCAAGTCATCATTTCAGACAGGGGTCCCCAATTTGTTTCAAAATTCATTACAGACTTATACCGCATTCTCAACATCAAACAAAACGCGTCCACAGCCTATCACCCTCAAACCGATGGGCAAACGGAGCACATGAACCAAGAAGTCGAAAAGTATTTACGACTCTTCATCAATTACCGGCAGGATGATTGGACCGAATGGCTTGCGCTTGCAGCCTTCCAACATAACAACCGTATACACTCTGCTACGGGAAAAACCCCATTTTTCATAAACCATGGTCATCACCTGCACGTGACTCAAACAAATCATCTCCGGACGACTACACCAGCATCATCTAATTTTGCAGCAGATATGGACCGAATTCATAATGAGACAAAAACAGCTCTCGAAAAAGCGGCAGCAACAATGAAAAAGAATTACGATAAACATCAGCGCCAGAGCCATGTATACCAACCAAACGACAAAGTATGGTTGGATACCACAAACCTGCACTTGCCACGTCCCAAAAAGAAACTCGATGACAAGCGCACAGGCCCTTTCACGATCATAAAAATCGTCAGACCAAGCACATACAAATTGCGCCTGCCACAAATGTGGAAGATTCACGATGTCTTCAACGAAACACTATTAACCCCATACATCGCGCCAGCATTCCCAAACCAACAACGACCGCCTCCCCCACCACCGGACTTGATTGACGATGAGGAACACTTTGAAATTGATCAAGTCCTAGACCATAAACTCTGATGGGTCAAGGCAAAAGGAGGCGGCATGACAACCACGGTGGACTACCTGGTCAGCTGGAAGGGGTATGGTCCAGAATCTAATCAGTGGGTCAACGAGAAATATATGAATGTGGATACAGCCATACACGACTATGAATTATCCCTTAATTAAACCATCGGGACGATGGTCTTAACGAGGGGGTAATGTTACGATTTTCCCATTTCTTTTTCTTTTTCTACTCCTATTCACACTTAGTCATAGCACGAGACCATGGGAAAGGCTTAGTAAGCACAGCTGAGCTGCCTAGATACAATGATGCTCGACGATGCACAATTACCTTGTTATGTACAACAACGATGCTCAAGGACAACAGGCACCATGGACACAAGTCAACACAATAAGTAGTCGTAATATTAGCATTACCTGTACAGTATTTAAGACCGACAGCTCTCGCTGGTATACCCCAGCTTCGAGCTAAAGTTTATAACATACCATCCTACCTCAAGTCTATATCAGACCTTGTATCACACCGCACGGGTATACTCTAGTGAACTCAGGTGATTTCTCGAAGTGCAAAGGAACGCCTGCTTATCACGTGTATCTGTCCATGTGACGCTTGGGCCTAACAGTCAACATCAAATGAAGACATTAAACAATCAATTTTGATGGTAGATCTAGACTATCAATATTTATAGACATGAAAAGTTTTAGAAAGAGTCAGGGGAAGGTTTGGGGCAGATCCTATTGTGAGAAATGTGGGATGAGCATGGTGATGAGCAAAGTATTCACTAATTGAAGAGTCATGTGACTAGCTGATGAGAGTGATATAACATCCTGTCACATAGTAGGACATGGACTTTAATACATATTGACTGATGGTTTGGATTCATCCTTTAAATATTAGATCATACAGAGTCCTTGAAAAACTTCATGCAATGCACTGAAGACAAGTCTGCATATGCAAAACTAGAAATGCATCAGTGTCAAAGACACTGATCATACCTACATCTAAGACAATATACACAAACCCTCAAGTTCATGAGGGTATTCTAATGTGATGAAAGTAGAAGAAACCAATAAAACTAAACTCTCAATATCTCAGTACATGACAAGCAATAGCACTTATATAGTATCTCTATTTCTCTAAGTCCAAAGGCTAGTAAGAGCAAATACATGCAAATACCAGATATTGATATAACTGGTGTATAACCAGAGCATATCAGTCTTTTTCAAACAAGAGGAGGCAAGATATGTCACTGAGCATAAAGGCAAATGTGTTATACAGAATACATGGCTCTGGAGTACAGGCCATCTATATTTTAGCATCTTGTCTCCAATTTGTCTAGCATAACCTGTTGTGGTGCAGTTTGTTTATCTTCTATCATTGAGTATGCTATCTAGGTGCATATATGTTGTACTTTCAATACAGATCAACCAGCTGTTGATTGAAAATCATCTCATTCAGATTTGTAGTGCCTTTATGGTTGGCAATCTCTTGGTATCTTGTTCAGCATGTGAACATGCTTTGACTTACTCATATTGGACTGACATTGTGTATGATTCAGCAAGAGAAAGAAACTGTTCATCATTTATTATTCATAAATTTTCTAATATTCTACTGCAGTTGTTAATCTTTCTCTTTCAGCAAAATCAGACTTGTTCACATTTACTATGCTTGTGGGTAATGGATTTGCCATTCCATGCCAGCATAGCCATCATGATCAGGATCTACAAGTGTATTTATCTGCATAAATAGCAACAAGAACTGGCATTCAACTAGGAAGGAGAATTAAAATACATATTAATGTCAGAAAGCACAATAAAGAGTATATTTTAGGATAGTAGAAGCATAAAGACAGCAAATGAAGATAACTATAGCAAGCCCTGGAATAAAAATATTGATAGCAAGCAAATGGCATAAGCTAAATAGTCCATCTAATGGTAACATTGAGGTAGTGAGATGAATAGAAAGAAAATACAGCTTAGCATCAAAAAGTTCAAGCCATAAGTTCACAGTAAAGACCAACTTCCAGGTGCCACTCAAGTGCCCACTTCACCACCTCAACCCTGCTCCCTCCTCTTAGAGACAAACCAGAGTTGGCTGTACCATTAGAGAGAATCTCACACTGCAATATTGTCCCAATGAAGCCAAAATGGATGTATGCAATGTTCTAGCTCCCAGGTTCAAGGTGTATGAGTATAGATGCTACTTATTGATAGATAGATGATGAAGCAGCACTGGAAGAAAGAGAAGAGAGCTGATATGAGAGAGTAATGAGTTGATAAGGTGGGGGCAGTGGCAGAGAAAACTGGCTGTTGGTGGAAGAGCTGCCACCAATGGTAGATGGGCTCAGCACTGGTGATGGGAATTGTTAAATGTGTTTGATTCTGCAGGTGCTGTATGCTGTTATGTGGAGTGAAGAATAAGCTTGGGGTTGTTGTGGAGCACAATACCACTGTGGGCAGGGACAAGAAGGATCATGTGGGCATTCCAGTTCACCTTTAGAGCGTGTTGAAGCTGAAGTGATGAATGATATGAGCAGTGTCAATGTTCATAGTGGAGGAGCCTGGAGAGGAGTGGAAACCTGCCAGTTGACAGTGGGAGAGAGAATATGTCATTGGGCAGAGTAAGTGGTGCCAGCAAAGAATGCAAAACATCCTCAGGTCCCTTGGTGATTTCACAACCTGACTTGGGTAGGTCAGTTTTCCAGTGGCTACTGCTCTGTATTTTTTTATATGGGTGTTTGATTCATCTGTGCTCAGCAAGTTTGGTGGTATCAATGAAACATTGATATCTCAGTCTATAGTCAAAGCACATAAGGTGCTTGACTTTGGGGCTGAGATATCAGTGGTAAGTACAGCTATTATGGAAAAGGGAGCATTGGATGACTCACTGCTTGGCCTGAATGTCAGCTTTTAGGTTACTGAGCTACCCACTTGTACTCCTCCTGCTTTATTGTGTGATTGGACAAGCTGGAGCTACCTTCCGGAGTGTAGTGCTTACCCTGATCAGGGAATGAAAGTTAGTTGTGGAAGTAGATTGCTATTGTGATGACCAAGAGCAGGCTGTTGGAGTGGCAACCTGACTCAGTGATTAGACAAGGATATTTTTTGTTGGAAACCTCGTCAGAGAAGGAGGAAAGAACTAAAAGATTACTGACTGTATTTCTAAAGCCTCGCCTGTGAGACGAGTCTTTTTTTGCTGCTGGATGTCGTGCCGCCTTGTCATTTTCACCTTGCATCCAGAGTACGTGCAGGGATCGATCTGTGGGTTCTTGGCTTGAAGGCGCTGGAATAAAATAAATGTACGTAAATAAATAGGCGTAACAGTGAAAATAAATTGTCTGACCGTCATAGAAGGGATCCAGAAGCGAACATAGGTGGGGGAAAACAACAGAGGGTCTTCTTGCAACGATGCAAGTTGAAGAAAGACTTTAAACTTTGTAACCTGTGAACCAGTTCTGGATCGAGATTTTCAGCCACGTTCTCTCGCGGAAAGATGCCGCAACGGCTCATTGCACGATAATCAAGATGAGAGCCAGACAGAACTCGTCAGGAACAAGGTCCGGCGTTGTCTTTGTTCTGTGAGCGGACACGGGTACTGATGAACCTGCATCTCCATAAATGTATAGCACTATGTTTTTCCCATTCCTCTAGCCTGGTTTTTGACCTATGGACTCCGATACTTATGACGGCAGGCAGAACGAAACCCACTACGGGACGCGAAATAGGGAAAACTCAGGAGTATGAATGAAAAGAATGTACCTGGGTCGGTAATATAAATAAGTAAAACGTCGGCTCAGAACGTGTCTAGTTCAACAGAAACTTAGAAAGGTAGTGATGCTCAAGGGAAGCCAAGGAACGGCGTGCAACAAGATTTGATGGTGTCCCGAAATGGCAAGGCTCTGGGCTCGCCCTCTTACCACCACCTACCCGCACCTTTACGCGTTGTTACCACCTATTCGACCACATCCAAGCTATCATAGGTGCATAATCATAGCAGGAATATTTTAATACGGCTGGCTCGACTGTCGTCGCGGCGCAGACGACCAATTGGCCCAACGACGAATTCACCTTCGAGTTTAATTTTCGTGGATACGGTTGTATGCGTCTTCTTGGGCAACCTAGGATGACTTCTGAAGAATGCTGGTGTGCCATGCTCGCAGTTTTGCTTGATGCTAGCTGACCCTTTGCTTCTCAGAAACGCCGTTCAGAGGTCGAGACTGGCGAGCAATTTATGCGCCATGAGCGTCATGCTCATTGAGCAGTATGTTCAAACTCGGTCTAGACCGATTCTTCTGCTGGAAAGAACTGAACAGTATCCCATTGGCATTATCGAAGTCAACGCTGTTATCATCTCTGAAGTTACGCTCGATTCTTGAAGGACAAAGAGAGATCACGGTCGGAGAAGAAGTAGCAGAGAGCCTTGGTATCTTCGCCACGTTCGTCACTGTTGCATCCTCACCCAGAACGGTGTACGCTCATCATCCTGACGCGTATACTCACGGCTTATGATCTCTCTCACCAGTCCGATGTGCAGACCACCTCGGTTCTTTGGTATGAGCGCCGTCGCGCCTCTTCGAAGCTTCTATGACCTCCGTGATTCTCGGTGACTAATTTATGATACCAGGAGTAGTGAGTGAGCGTTATTTCTTTCCTGTCGTGGGGTCATGCTAATGCTTACCTACAGCCCTTGTCGCTGAAGACGAAATTTTGCCTACAGTAGTCGGACCAACAGCATGTCTCGCTTCCACTGCCAAAAACCCGTCAAGATTTAAAGCCCAGTACAGTTCTACAATACTACGAGCAGATGAAGACCCTGACTATTATCCATTATCGCCCAGCTCAACACTTCCCCAATTTCTCTGTCCCCTTCACAGGCCATGGTGATTTCTACCGCGGGCACAAAATCTTAAACCTTATTCGCGATGGTACCGACACTTGTCTTACCTCTTGGGAGGTTTTATGTTAGCGTGCTATTATGAACGAGTGAGATGCTTGAAAGGGCGTGATGCGACAAGGGCCGGACTCCTGGGAATGCCTCCAGACATTTTTGACGCATTGGCACGAGCCAAGGCTTGTTAATATGGTGCTGCAGATAGCACGCGTAAGGATGAGCAGAGTCTTCATAGCGGAAGCAAAGGCGACGGCGATTGATCGGGAAAGTACCCCCGCGGAGCCTGAACGTGTTGGTGTGTCGATCCTGTTTTCCATCTATCAAAGTGACTAATTGGTTGCTTAATGATACCGAAACTGAACCGTTATCAACCTTTGCGGGGGACTAATGGCGCTCTTGTGAAACAATCGCTCTGTCAGCGTTTCAGGATGAATTGATGTAGTCAGCGATCGCCCTGGCAATGGCACATCACCATTTGGAGAGGGCGCTAATGGATGACGAGGAAGAACTGGCCTTGACTATGATCCGCCATCCCTTGGCTTGCCACTACGTCTTGCCATAGTCTTTGCGAAAGTGGGTACAGCTATTAGCCTTTAAGCTATCATTCTTGCTGATCTCCTCTGGCTGCAGGAGAATTTCCAAATGGCCTCACCAGCGAAAGTCCAAAAGGAGCCGCTTCATTGGTTTAGCCTCAGCGATGAAATTTCAAAATCAGACCAGGCAAAGATAGTGAGTTGGCAGAAATCATACAAGGAAGCCCGACAGTAACAGAATTACAGGTCAAGGATGCGCATTGCCGATATCAGAGTCTTACCGAGGTTACCATTTCCGTTATTGACGAGATCGACACAACAGAGTTGCCCTCCAAGTGTTAGAGCAGCATGTTTACACTGGTGGAAAGCCGGTCATCCCATAATCTCTCGCTGACACTCCCTGTGCCAGCCTCGGGGTTGATGGGCTCCTAGAGAGGCTCAATACCGCACTCGGCACCTCCTATACCCTGGACTCCCCATCTCTGTCCTCCCGTTTCTCCAAAAAGTTCTGCTCTGCCCTTCGAATCCCTCACACATCATCTTTGTACTTGATTCTGAGATCCTGCACTACTAGCAACTACGACTTTGGCATCGCATACGCCCGTCTCCGATGTAGATGGTACGGCGACACAACCCACGTCAAAGATACATGGCGTTCCCACGAATCCCGAGACAAGGCGATATGAAAGGTCGTGCAGATCAATAAGCGCATCACTAGCTCCTCCGTACCTCCTCGATACCTTTGGGACCTGTATATCAATCGGGTCGTTCCGTGGTGGATTGCGTACGAATGGCACTGGGGCGTATCACATGCTTGGATGGATGAGAAGGACCGCGTCAGTGTATGGTCCCCCACCAATGGACGGGCATGGCCCGTGCCCATCCCTAAAGACGCAGATTTCAACCTCATTCGCATCGAGCTGCTCAATCTTGGAGCAGAGTAGGTATGGCTGGACGTGCTCTGTTCGAGGCAGGCCGGCGGGCCGAGCGAGGATCTGCGTGCGAAAGAGTGGGAGCTGGACTTTCCTACCATTGGGAGTGTGTACCTGATGTCCAGACAGGTGGTGTGCTACTTTAGCGGACTGGGGAGGCCGTTGAGTTTAAACATTGACCTAGAGGTGATCGGAGCTGGTTTAGGAGCGCGTGGACGCTGTAGGACATGAAGGAGGACTATATTATTGGTGGGAAAACAAGCGGTGAAAGAAGTGCGGAGGAATATAAGCAGATAATGCTCCAGCAGCTGTCGGTGCTCAGGACCATCACCGGTACAGGCAACAAAAGTGTGCTCGACGTCCTGTCGTATATGCAGAAACTTGCCTCGACGAATCCCGTGGATAGGATCGCGGGGATGACGTATCTCGTATCTACGAATAAGATACTGGCGTACTACGAGAAACGGACTGAGGAGGACGCGTGGACGGGGTTGGTAGATGAACTACATGCGCAGCTCCGGGCGGATATGTTCTTCCTTTATCCTAAGCCTGGGGATGGAAATGCACGGTGGAGGCTGTCTTGGAACCAGGCCATGGATGAGGCGCTCCTGCCTAATGAGGACGAGCTCCGCGATCGGGCTCCGTGGGATAACACATACACGGGCCCGTGTATTGAGGAGGGTGAGGTACGGGGATTGGGAGGAGAAGGAGAGCTGGTCGTCGAAGGGGTCTCGCGGCCGTCCAAGATCGTTGCCGACCATGCGTACCCGATACCCTGGGGATCGTACACGCTGATGGGCGGTGAAACTCCTAGTATGATGTTTTGGGTGGTGGGGCGATATAGGAAAGGGATGTTTGAGAAGGTGTCAGTGGTCCGGGTGCTTGATAATGAGGAACGGGAGGCACTGGAGAGATCGGGGGTCGTGAAGGAGAAGATTGAAGTGGGTCTGTGGTGATGGATGTCTGTTTTCGTGTTTCTGGACTCTCTGGAGAGTACGTAACTTCTCTGCTTAAAAACGCCATTCTTTCAAAGGGTGAGATCCGATGTTTTCCTTGTTGCGCCTTCTGATATAGCATCTTCTGATATTTTGGCAAAGACAATGATAATAACCATCGACATCAAAGATCTGACTGTACATGAATCGCTGGCGCGGCATGTACTCGGTCCCGGCTGTCTCTTTATTTCGTGTTAGCATATAAATGCAAACGTGAATTTTCTGTTGTCTCCATAATTTACCGGCAGTAGTTAGTCTCTGAAACTCGATGATCTCATTCTTCTGTACAAAGACTCCGATGCTGGGGGAAACTGTGGCTTACGCTGCGAACTCCAATCAACGCAGAGCCCTAACTCACTGGCGTCCTTGTGCTACGTCTCATATGGACATTTCTGCCACGGATTCTCTTCGGTATGTGACTGCAAAGCATTTCTTCCTTGGCTTTGGTCTATTTTCGCAAGGTAATAACGCCGAATACTTATATCGACGGGTTACAAACGTATCGTTCCAGGAATTCTGGGATAATCACTGGAGGGGATGTGCTCATCCCTATGAATCTGCCGCCCATGGTTATGATGATGATATCCATGGGCGCAGAGAAGTGAAAAATGCGGTTATAGCTTTGTGATTACAGAGGAATCTTACTTGATTCTATCGCACGAAACCTATCACCTCCGAAGTCTTCGGACCCCCACCGCAGTATCGAAGTCAAACTTTCTTCCAGTTACTGACCACCGCTAGGACAGAAAAACGCTTCATTGACTATATTAACGGAAGGTTGTAAATTAAGAATTTGTATTATTAGGAGTCCTTGGGTCTATCTCCTGAAATTATGGTTTGTATGTGATTGACTCTTGCTTCGTCTCGGCGAAGACTTCGGAATTCCTCTTGGTGGGCTTCGACATTGTCGGTGCGCGTGTCGGCGATCCTAGGTAGTCCTATCTCCATATTTGTAACAGTTTCTTCAGCGGTGGAACGCTGCCATCTAATACTCTTGGTGCGTGCTCCGGTGGTATCTCGACGAGACTGTCCTCGACTGACGCCTATGATGATCATAGAGAACTAAGGGATCTTGTCAACTTCACGCTGCGCGGCTGCCGAAGATAAGATACCTACGACGATGCCAATAGTAGGGCACTGGATGTCAAAGAGCAAGTAGGAAATGTAGCTTTCGAAACCCATAATGATTATTTGGGTTATGAGGACAGTGGTATAAACAGCGGCTAGGGAGGATTTATTAAGTATCAAAGACGGGATATGAGATATTCACATGGAAGCTAACCAGATTCTACGCCGAGAGCTATGACACCACTCAAGGGGTCAAGACCTTCTCTCGTCTCGTAGGATACATTACGGCGTGCCACCCAGATGCGAAAGGAGGAAGAGCATTAGTATGACGATTGGCAGTGCTTATAGATGCAAATGAGGTTAGCCGCCAGTGTCGCAGCAGCGAATGCAGTCGTTACATGAAGCAAATATCGAAAAGTCGAAGAAGAATTCGCCATGACGACCAAGAAGTAAATTCCCATTGCTGAGGAAGGCGAAAGATTAGACAAATCCTGAGGACTCAATAGTATTCCTTACCAATGTCCGCGGCAAAGAGTAGCAGAGGGATAACTATTATCAGATTTTTCTGCATCCAGACGATATATGTGCGGTAGACCTATTTCAGTGTGAATTAGCTCCTTGCTGGAAACGAATAAAATTGCAGGAGTCCTACAAGGAAGGCATCGGCGACGATTGTGGTCAGGACCCATGGCGTATTTTCGACGAGGCTCCAGGCGGACCAGGGCGGATGTAAATTGAGAACGCCATACGTGCCTACGTGAAATATACCGATCATAGTGCCAATAATAGTTGCCATACAGCGCTGGAAACAACCTCAGAAACTCGCAGACGAGATGAGATACAGAACGAACCCAAGTTATAAGAAAGAACAAAGCAACATGGGTACCTAGGAGGTACATGTGCGACCGCTTTGTTTTGTAGCGGTGATACAGAACCACGCTACAATAATAGGCGATCACAGTCTATAGGCCGGATTATGCGCAGTGGTCATCGTTCATGGAGAGAAGTGGAAGAAGTGCTGGTGGCCATTCATGTCAGTATCAATGTCCACGGAGAATACTTAGCCATGTGTGATGATCTTCGATCGACTCAAAACTTCACGAGTACGAATCAGTCCTCGGCCGATCCCAGTGATAGAAATGTAGTACAAGATCATGTTTGGCGCCAGATCGGGCAAATTTATTCCTAATTCATTGGGCAACTTAACAATTATTATTGCTTAGAATATATATGAGTATCTAAGTCTATATAACTTGAAAGAATTACGGTTTGTATCCTGATGACTCAAAATTCGTCTTCGTCGAGACTTTGGGGCCCTCGTGCTGAGCTTCGACATCGCTACGCGTGACGTTGATTGTCTGGAGCCTGATCTGTACACTTTCTTCCGTGCTGGAATGGCGCCATGCAATAGTACCATCGGTACTTTCGCTGGTATCTCCCTGCGCTTGTCCTCGACTGACGCGAATAATGATCATCGAGAACTAAGAGATTGAGTAAACTTCAAAATGTAGAGAAAAATAGCCGGGGGTACATACGACAATGCCGATAATAGGGGACTGGATGTCGAAGAGCACGTCGTAAACGGCGCTGCCGACACCCAGAGCGATAATTTCCGCTATAAGTACAACAGTGTAAATAGCGGCTAATATGGTGCTTAATGAGCATCACGGTCAGAAGATGTGAGGTTTACATTTGGAAACCTACCAGATTCTACGATGAGCTTTACGACACCACTCAAGGGGTCGAGACCTTCTCTTGTCAAGCCGGACATGTTGCTGCGTACCCTCCAGATGCGAAGCGAAATAAGAACTGCCCAGGGAAAACGTATGAGATGAGCATTAGTATGGCACCAGGCAATGCGCACCGGTGCAAATCAGGTTAGCCGCCAAAGTCGCCGCGGCAAAGGCAGCCGTCAGATGGATCAAGTGTGCAAGAGTCGTCTTGGAACTCGCCATGCCGACTAAGAGGAAAATTGCCGCTCCTGCGTAAGGCCAAAGATTAGACAAAGCTTGATAATTGAACACTATTCCTCACCAAAATCCACGACAAAAAGTAATAGAGGAATGGCTACTATGAGATAATTCTGCGACCAGACGATGTACGTGCGATAAACCTGTTTCGGCAGGAGTTAGCCACCCACAAAAACGACGAGGATGTTGGGACTCTTACAATGAAGGCATCTGCAACGATTACGCTCATGATCCACGGCGTGTTTTCAACGAGACTCCAGGCAGACCAAGTCGGGTGTAAATTTATAGTGCCATCCGGGGATATGTGGAATATGCCGTGGAGACTACGAGCCATGTTTGCTATACAGCGCTGAAGCAACCTCAACAACTCGCAGACGAGATGAGAAGTGGAACGAACCCAATTTATCAGAAGAAACAGAGCAATATGGGTGCCCAGGAGGTACATGTGCAACCGCTTTATTTTGTAGCGGTGATACATGACGACGCTACAATGATAGGCGACCACATTATACGCGCCTAGAGGATATATTCAATATAAATAACTGAGAGCAAGGATAAAGAAGGGTACCAAACAGGAATGTCGAAAGGTAGGCTCCAATGTAGGCCGCATCGCGAGGAGCGACCATCGTTCATAGGGAGCGCTGGAAGAGTTGCTGATGGCCGTGCATGTCTCACTGTCGCAAAAATTTCCACGGAGGATAGTCATGTGTGATGATCTTCGATCGACTGAATATGGGGACTAGTATCTCATTTCACCAAAATGTATACCGTTCCCAAGAGGACAATGTTCGGAGAGTCGGAAAGCGCAGAGCCTTTGTCGTGAGTCCAATCCGTCTGAAAGGCATGGAATCGAAGAGTGAGTATACTGTATCATTTTCTCGGAAGGCCGTCCACGTCTGACATCCGATAGCGGTTCGGTACTCAAATCCTGATCTCATAATCCTTAAAGGGTTACAGACGTCGAGCACAGCCCGGTAAAATCGGAGAATGTAGACGGTGATAGCAGAACTTCTTCAGAAAGGCAAGTGTGGAAATTGACTTCCTTGCAAGGAAAGGGGATTGAAGCAGTCAATTGGAAAATACGGAATGCAAAGGGAAGGAGAAACCCGAAAACTTCTCCGATCAATCAATCATCATGTAGGTCCAGGTCTGGTCCTCTGCACGTGCTTTATCTTCCCCTCTCTATTCAGTTCACCGGACCGAGGAACAGGAACTGAACGTTGTGAGCAGTCCAAGCTTGCGAGGGCAGCACACATAAGGTGCTGAGTAAGCAAGCGAGCGAGATGTCTCAAACTCTCTCGCTCCAGTGCCAAAATTCGCTACGGCGAAGTCTGCGACTTGTATTCAGTTACTCTCAATGCTTATTTGCTTCATCTCTTCTCTTTCACTGACGCCCCGCTCCGATGGTGCTGCGACTGAAACCTTGGACCCTGGTATATGACTGACGAGAAGCCTTGAAACGATGAGATGGACAAAATGCGAGCGAAGATGAGCAAAGAGGTAATGGAGAGAAACACCAGAAGGGCTCGAAGAAGAAAGGATGTGGAGCAAAAGAGAGGATCTCCGGAATGTCTCAGGATGAAGAAGATGAGTCCGAATTCGTCGTTCAAACTGTGCAGAAAGCTGTCGAAGCCAAAGCGAAGTCTTCATACGGGCCTAGGACTATGGTTCCCTTGGCTCCCTTAGTTTGGCTTCCTGTATCTACCACTTCTATGGGTATTGCGCTTGGAACGATGTTCTTAGACGATAAGACCGAAAGGAATGTCGGGGCTTACAATTCTAATGACGCCACCTTTCACATCGGACCTGCATACAATCACACGTACGCCGTGAACGGCGCGAGCAAGAGATTTAGTGTTCGCGAATCTCGATGTATCCAAAGCCCCTCCGGAGGACAATTTTTCTCGGGCGGATTTCCTGGAGTATTGCAACAAACCTTTGGATCTCTTCTATCTTTGGCGAACAGGACCTGGTCCGATGGTGTATAAACAACTAAAGATAACAACAGGAGGCCCAGTCTAGCGGCGAAGAAAGACCCAGGCGCTCACTGCCTTTCACGAAGACTACAAGGCTTTGCTTGTTCTTCGAATTCGCATGCCACTCTATGTTCCACCCCAAATATCTGTGCCAACTACAGTATGACAACGACATTTTGCCATGCGTGGCCTACAAAATCGTATACAGCCACCATGTTTGAAGATGCAGGTCCTAGCGAGCACAAGCACACAGCTTGTCGCTGATGCTTCGGATTCTTACTAATGACGTCGTACTGCCAGCCTGACATGGAAAGCGATATTTAGGTGCTGCTCACGGTGTCGCTGCAATTCTGTAGATTCCATATGTTTCTTTAATGATGGACTGAATGGCACTCCGCATGATGGTGCTGCAGGATGCCATGGCAATCTTATCTTGAGCACTTGATGTAAGAATTAGACAAGCTAGGCGCTGCTGCTTTCAAACATCCAGAGCTGCGAGAACGTGTACTCGTCAAGCTTTAGGGTCCCTATTTCAGAGTGTTCGTCCACTCGATGTTGGATGATTGGCATGAGGTTCTCAACGAAGAGGTTTTTACCTTCCGAGAACATCTTGCCATCGCTTTCCAATTTCTCAATGACAAGACTTTGACTTCGTATTTGAGACGAGCGAAGGATCAGAGGGTCCGCACTACTACCATTGTTCTACGTGACCAAGCCTAAAAGCAGTTCAAAATGGCTTTCGCGTGATTCTTCCTTGACTCCCTGCTGTCGCTCTACTCTCCTCGAGCTTGTATGCCATCTAACGCGAGTTGGTTCCGGCTCTACGGAGGATACTTCATCCTCCTAATCTTCATCCTCATCCTCCTCCTCGTCGTTCTCGTCGTCATCGTCCTCCTCCTCTTCTTCTCTCCCCACTTCACAGAGAAAAACTCCGCCTCCAAATGGGTCTGGTCAAACAACTGCGCTCTTCTGTGCAGAGCACTCCGCTCAGTAATCACTCCCAAAGTGTGAATCCCGCAGCCAATGCGGATTATCTTGTGGGAGATTTCGAGCGGTACATCGGTAGAAGACCTCAGAAACCGCGTTTTCATGTCCGCCGACCACTATTTCACCAGTATTCTCCATCTTCCTCGCCACTGGCGGACCAATGGCGAGATAAAATCTCAAATCAAAGGTCTTAAAGACGACGCTGTATTCAAGATTCATGAAAAAACCTACGTTACATTATGCAAGAAGCGCAAACCTGGGGAAGTTTTCTGTCATCCCCACGGTTTGATGTGTAACAGCGCGTTCAACTTCTCGGTGCCACTGAAGACTCTGCACTCGGTATTTATTGACAACACGTGAAGCTGGTTGACGGTAGTTCGGGAAAGAACGTCCCTGATACCTTGCATGTTCTTAGCGCCATGTTCACATGAAAGACAAAGGCCCACAGAATAACTTTTCTTGGGCACAAGCAATGCATTGGCAGGAATCCAAGCCTAAGGTATACTATCTCCACGCGGGGACCGATGTTCTAACAGCTGGCAGCAAAGATCCTCAGAGAAAAAGTGCTGGGAAAAACCACCGTACATCGAAACCCTGGGAGCATCCTAACCCCGTAAAGTCGCGCACGAGCTCCGCCTCGAACAAGCGTCGTTCGGAAGATGACACTTGTGTCCGCTCCAAGTATCTACGCTCTGGAACGACGCGCGAAGTTTCGGAGGCCAGGAAAAGGACAGAGCAATCGGCGTCATTCAGTTCTGTAAAAGGGAGCGTGCCAGGAGATGGAACAAAGGAAGAAGCAAAAGAGTCCCGAGCCCGACATGCAATCCGGCTGCAGTGTAGTCGTTACGCCCTCTGCATGCTATCTAGCGCAAGCTTTCCGACGCACTGCATTGGTGCCGTAATAAATTTCGGTGGTTGGATGCCTACTGAGACCTTCTCGATGGGTTCAAACCCTTCTACCATCAGATGGATTTTGATATCAGCCGTGGTCGCCTCATCCAGGGGGCAATTAAGGAAGGTTCCATGCCCTCATTGTGGTCGTTCCTTGCCCCGATGTTCTGTTTGTCTTATGACTCTGAACGTCATTCCCGACGGCGCTCAGAATGTGGACCCTACGAACGCGCAAGTCTTATCGATTGGGTTAAGGCTTACCCCAATTACTTATGATCATACGAGATATATTGCGTGCATATCGAATAGGCAACCTCTTGTAGTATTCAACATATCTTCAAATGGATTAATGACCATGAATTATAATTCTAGGACAGAAGTCGGATTCCAGAGGCATCCGGCTGTACTCGATGCTCTTTGAAAAAGCTTCGAGTGTTTTGGCGGTTGGGGAGCTCGTATCCCTCTGGAATCTCACTCGCGAGGAAAATAAGGATTTCTCTCAACCCCCTTCTTATGTCCGTCAAATTCGGAAACGGCTTGGGTAGCTCCCACTTCGCTCTAGCACCGCTAAGCACGGAGAAGAATCATCGCACTCCCTGAGGCTCTCTATTATCATCGATAAAGATTGATGCAAACCATCTCTATCGCAATACATAATGCGCGTTAAGCATGTTGTTTTAATCTATATCAATGGGAAAACATTAAAGATCAATGCTTGAGGGGGATCCTTGATCAAGAACCAACACCATGTGGGGTTTGGCGTCTTGCCACTTCAGGACTGGCTCAAGGGATTCTGCTCATCAAGACATCGAGCAGAATAAATTAGTCGTTCCTGCACCTTCACCGGTCAGGAGAAACGTCTCGCAGTCTTGATACGTCCCAGATATTCTGGCCAGAGCCACTAACTACCTCTATATAGTAGATAGCCGATGTTCTCCCAGTACCCATCCCTTGGGCTCCCCGGTCTCCTCAAACAGGCTGATTCCTGATATCAATGCCCCATTGATCAGCTCCCCTCTGCCAACAATGGCAAGGACGCAATCATCTCCAGACTCCGGTTCGGCACTAGCCACTGTAATCGTGAGTCCGTGATCAACCAGCAAGTCACGTCACGCAAATCTCATCCAGCATCTTTGCCTCGCGACACCAGACGAGATGAACAGCAACGTACACTGCCTTCAACGCGTCATCGATGGCTTACGCCCTCTCCGTGGACAGACTGGAAGAGTGCCACTCAATCAGGAACTTCATCTCTGCCACCCGGCAACGAGCCGAACAAAGGTAGCTGGCGCTGCACGGTCTTCCTTTGTCCTAGAAAAAACAAAGACAGTCCAAACGAATATAAAAGGCCATTACCAGCCCTAGGTTCCACTCTACCCACCCAGTTAGCCAACCGGTCTTCCACAACCATCTCAACCTTCGTCTCTGCTGGGGTCAAACCAAACAAAAAGCAGAAAGTCTCGGAGACCTCTTTTAGGCCTAAAGTGCGTCGCTTTCTTCTCCCTCATCCTCCGCCCCTGATCTCTCCTTAGGAATCACACCAGGGAGATAGCGATGAGGACCGAGAAGCTTGACGAAAAACTCCTAATCCCACCGAGTTCCTCACAATGCCCTTAGAACTCTCTGACCTTCGATACACAGCCAACCTGCCCACGGCTGAAGACGCTTTCCCCTACAACAAAATCTCCCGCTCCGGAGAAAAACCCCCAATCCTCCCGGCAGGATCTGCTACCCCTTCACCGATGCCGCCTTCCCAAGAGTATACGTACCTTGGAACCACCTCACAGCAGGCTTCCCAGAAGACTTACGAAAGGAAATCGCGGCCTCCCCTGGCTCCTTCATTGCTGTGATCCCCTACGGTGCCCGACCAAAATTCTACTCAGACAACCCAAGAACTGATCTCCTCACGGAATTCCTTGAAGGGTTCGACTTCCCAGACAAGGGCACCATCACGGCTTTATTTCCAGTGAAATCCAAAGAAGAGAGGAAAGGATGTAACAAGGAGGATCACCGCAGCAGGAAGAGCGCGTTCGACAAACCGTGGCCCCTCGTCGTCACCAGTATCTCGGACGACTTCATCAAATTCCTTCTATGGCACCAGTGCTTCGCCGTCCCCTCGCGTGTGGTATGGAATTTTGTCTCGTTCAATCCTAAAGCTCTTGCGTGGGTCATCACCGCCTTCCAAGGGAATGTCGTTCGCGATGATGCCCCCCCCCCCTTCATAGCCGAAGCCCAAGCATGTCTCAAATCGGCAGCCTGGCGTGACATACCTCTACGAAACCTCGTCAAATGCATCACACAAAGCCAGGGTAATTTCGGAAACCCGGTAGAACTCACCGTCTGGATGACTCAACCCTGGGACCTCCTTCGCGCTGAAACAAAGAATCTTGACAATGACAAAGGGCCGGTTTTCATGTTCATGGGTGAACCTATTACCGACGACCTTGATTCCATCGGGCGCTCACGGCCTACATCAGAAGACTCAGGGTTCGTATCAACTATCAACAGCTCCTGAACGTTGACAAGATTATCGGCTACGACTGGTGCAAGAACCCAAACCATCCGAGCCATGTCTGCCCCTTCCCCAGGATTGACCCGGCATGGTATGACTCTACTGCCGATGAACTCCGACCTCGCATGATGAAAGCAGAACCCCCAAAGACCCAAGCCAGAAGCGAAAGGAAGGTAGCGAGAAGTCAGGCATTCGCTCCAAGCGTGGAAGGAACCACGATAACGGTTGGAAAGTTGTCGGGCGTGGTAAAAAGCAGTAGTCCACTTACCATTTAATTGTCACTTAATGTAACATTTTGCCTCGAATAGAGATCCTTTACTTCTGCTTGTTTGATCTCGGTGAGCTTCAAGTTTAAAAGAGCGGAACCAGGGTGAGACTGGAAAAGATGAGAAGTCCGTTAGAGCCATCTAACATTCATCGAAACATCTTCCTGTTCTGATTACTGACAATTTAGTGGAGGTAAGTCGGACTGCTGAGCGGGAAGGGGCGATACAACTGTCTCCAACAGGACCTGATGGAGCCTAAACTGCTTGTGAAGTCTTCCCTCTAACCAGGGGAGATACAATCAAGTGGATTCATCAAATGCTTTTGAGCACAGTTCCAAACCAGTGTGGGACTTGGCTCGGGTCATCACAAACGTCCTTGGTAGCTGTCTCCTAACGGATGAGATTCCTGTATCTGTTAGGACTCTAACAGGCTGATTTGGTCAATTGCCAATGATACCTGCTCCCCTCCCTCCAAAACAAAACAAAAACAAAAATTGAAAAAAGAACTCCAGAGAGCCGGTCGGGTTCGTCAACGTTGTGTCTTCACCCAGAACGTTGTACGTTCGTCATCCTAACGCATCTCCTCGAGGCTTGCAACATTTCTCTCACCAGTCGGACGTGCAGACAACTCGATTCTTCAGTATGAGCGGCGTTGCGCATCTTCGAAGCTTCCATATCATCCACGATTCTTGGGCGGTCACTAGTGTATGATACCAGGAGTGGTGCATCAGCCTTGTTTCTTTCCTGTCTTGGATTTGTGCTAATGCTTCCTTACAGGCAGCGCCACCGAAGCCGCAAAGATGCCTAGAGTTGCTGAACCAACAGCGTGTCTCACTTCCGTCGCTGAAAGCCCGTCCAGATTAAAGGCCCAATACTGCACCCACGATTCTACGGGCATATGAAGACCCTGGCTGTTGCCCAGTTCCTTTCTCTGTATTCACGGATGCTGTATAGAAACGTAGTGCTCGTTATACCACCTTTGGACAGGATCGTGAAGTTCACACCGAACGAAATTTGGATCAAATGCATTGTTTGTCGATGCGTTATTTACTTTCTTTGCAACATAATTCGTCTAGCTTGCCGAGAACGGCAAGGTGGGATTCCTTCGCAGCTTACGTGTGCAGTGCTTCGCGTTGACCCGCGTGTTGCCGATCCATCCTTGTCGGTATCGGACGATCACTCACCATGGTGGAAGACATATCGTGAGTCCATCCGTTGAAGTGTTTGCACCGTTTCTTACACGACATAGTTTTGAACCGCGCCTTATAAAAGGTTGATCTTCCTAAATGTACAAGCAGTTATGGTTTCTAGAACTCCTACAGACATCGAAGTACATGACCTTGGACCTTCGACAAAGGTTTTGAGACTGACCCTGAAAGTCGTCGTTGGCGGCGTTGTCCGTTCGTATCGTACGATCAGCGTTAAGCCCGATGATATCCCGAGGTGGTTGGTCAATCTTAACTTGTGAGTCTGTACATTCACAGGAGCGATGCCATCATATGAATCCTACACAAGGGACAATATAGACATGTCAACGGAGGTTAAGCTGATACTTTATAAGCGTCACCCGTTTTGGCTCGAGGTCTTAGGGTCTACTGAGAAGACGATTTCAGACTTTTCCGAAGAAGAGAACGATTGTGAGTTCGTTTTCAACACGATCGTAATGCGACTAACTCTCCGGATCCTCAGATAAAACATTTCCAATTTACCACGATAACTCCACATCACCGACTATAGCATCCTTCAGGATATCCTACTCTGACGACATCCGCCTAGTCTCCGTTAAAACCATGATGAAGGATCTTCGAGAGGTACTTGCGATGAATGACCGGTGACTTTATATTGCTGAGAGCTGACATTAACCAGGTCAATTTTGTCGCCAACGTTGCCTGGGGTTTCTTGTCAAAGGGAATCGACGTAAGTCATTCCTCGTGAAGAGCATTCGGAGTGTTCTAAGTCGACGCAGGTATTGAGGAAGAACGAGGAGTCGAACAAAGTCGTCGTCGATCTCTACAAAGTCATGTTTTCTGCGTATGTTTCGGCGAGCCGTGCGGAAGAGAAAGAGAATGCCGAAATCATACGTTCTTGTCGTCAAGCCCTCATCAGGCAAACAATTGAATGCACCCTTTTCATCGAGGGCTACGCGAGGAAAATTACTGTGGGTGCGTATAATAAAACTGTTATCTGAACTTTTAATGTAATTATCTCTTTAGAGCATCCCTTGAGTGCTCAGCTTTTGGACAAGGCAGTGAAATTTCGAGAAGGATTCATGGCCATGGATAATCTGTTCCAATCTACCATTACAAAGGAAGTTGAGGTCGTCACCCTGGGCGTGCAGGTGCCGATTAACCGACTTAGTATGTCATTTGGTTGACCCTGGACGTAAGCTGACCATTCATTTACAAGGTTTAGTCGGGCTACAGCTGATTGCTCATCTTCAAGTATACCCTCAGCTCATTCCCAAGTCGACATGCTTGCGAGGGACGCGTGGGCAGACCATCAATGCTATCATGGCCTGGATCGCAGAGTGCAGCGGCGGCGTCTTATGGGTTAATGGCGTATCTGGGTCAGGAAAGAGTTCGCTGATGGGTACCTTGCGTGAGCTTGCCAGTGATGCGAGCGGGCGGAACCGCCTTGGTGCCTTCATTCGCTACGATCGCATAGAATCTCCAGACTCGTCGAAACTGATTTCCAGTATTGCCTACTTCCTTGGAATGTCTGATGACCGGATCGGCACGGCCATTTCGCTAGTAACCCACAGTAGCCCATTCCTCGCGTCTTCTGAGAAAGAGCGATTCGAACTGCTGATCGAGCAGCCGTTGCAGAGTGTACCAGTCTTGGCTGATGAAGGGCCACTGGTTGTTATCATCGATGGATTGGATGAATGTAACCCGTCAGATGAACTGCTCGCTGTTCTCGCAAACGGATTTGGATCAAGACTTCCTTTCATGCGAATGGTCATTGCGAGCCGTCCTCTAGAAAGCATAGTCCGGGCATTTTCCCACTCCGGTATAACACCGATCACATTAGACACGTCGTCGGAGGCGACTCGTCGTGACATTCGAAATTACATCGATCATCAGCTCTCTTCCATATTCGCTGATCAGGAAGCGCGCCATGCACCGGATACCTTGCAGAAGATGTGCGAAGCGCTGATTGCAGTTGAAGGGCTTAGTAAACGGGCAAACGGCTCTTTCGTCTGGGCAGTAACTGCGTGCAGATTCATACGCGAATTTCCAACTATAACTAGACTTCAAACGCTCCTGGGTCTGGAAATCCCCACCGATTGTACAGATTCCATCGCGAATCTCTACAAAGCTATACTGTCTTCGATCGTGGCAGAATCTAATGAAGACAAGGACATCATCAGGCGCTGTATCTGCACAGTGTTAGGCGCCATCATGATTCCGAGAAGATCTGGAGGGATGACTGCTGAAATTCTTGACGCTCTCGTACTTGTACCCGGCGACCCGCCAGCATACCTTATCCTGGCGGATCTGCGTGCTGTCGTTGAAATGTCGTTGGATGGCTTTGCCAGGTTTTTCGATATGTCTTTTTACGACTTCCTACGGGACCGGGACCAATGTGGTGAAGAATGGTATATCGACGTGGAGGAGCGGAAAAAGATCTTTTATGAACGTTCGTCCGTAATGTTAAGGGGGTAAACTACCACATGAAGCATTTACTCTTGCTCTTCGATGCGTGCATGTGACCAATAAACCTGTTCCATCTCTCTGATGTCACCGGTATTGTGTTGCGTTCATCGGACAAAGAAGTTTTTTAAATGCGGTTAGTTAGTAGTTACTCTCGTGGATTCTTGTTGCTATCAGACAGACAGTTGATATATCTCTTGGGCCAGGAATGGTAGAGACGCTTAGGTCAAGGTAGCTGTTGATAGGACAATAAACGAAGGCCTCTCGGTCACCGGTCATATCAAAGATCTTACGATATCACTGAGCCGGAAGCAGCGTGGTCAGTGTTCTGCCATCACTTCTATTTATGTCATCAACAGTGTGTTCAACTCGGACGATCACCGCATGTTGGGAAGGTGGGAAGTCTTGTTGCCCCAGGACGACAACCACTGAATATCGAATCCCATGCCTTACGACGAGAGGTGTTCTTTCTACTTTTTTTTGAATCGTCATTTCCGTATCTAATGCTAGTCAGTGACAGTGACAAGTTTCATATCATCGAAGGCGCGTCCCTAATTATAGTGGAAATCCTATTTCGCTTATTGTCTCTCATAAACAGATGTGGAGCTGAAATGGATCTTGTTCACGGATGTTACCCGCGTTTACTTGATGCTCACAACCGGTGATAAATTCGTCTATAAGACCGACACTGTTAGATTTCTCTCCCCCCCTTCGGGGTCAAAAGCAAGCTGGTCCCCCAGGATGCCGCTGTACGTGGAGGTGAAAAACAGGAGTACTCGTCTGATATCGTTTCATGTGCAGAGGTCCACTCAGTCCATCGACAATGGTTGTCTTGAAGCTCTACACTCCTCGTAAATTTCCGCTGCTGTTCCATAGGCTTCTTGGTAGCGCAGAGATACCAATTACCGAGATATTCGATGAGAACAGAGACGGTATGTTCGTGATCAATGAATCTGATATCCAGGCGCAAACGTTGAAACCACATGTTTGTAGATGAACCGCTCTTGCTCTTCGGTCCGACCTCAGTGCGCCCAATGCCGACAGTATCGCTAAAAATAGCTTACTCGTCAGATCAAGAAAAGGTCGCAAAACTGATTGTTAAAGACGCTAAGAAGCCCAAAGAGCGCGTTAATAGACATAGCGCTCTTCTTAATGGTGTGAGTGCTGTCAAAAAGATGATAGACATACTAACAGAGGTGCGTACAAAACACTTTAATAAAATTATGATATCACTAAAATCCATCCCTCCGGAAACTAGGCTCACCCTGCCGCAAAGGTGGCTTGGAGTATCATTTCTATGGGGATCGATGTAAGTTCCATTCTGTAACGATCCGGTGGCATAATATTCCTCCCGTGAAGACTAATATATTTCGTAGATATTGAGATATCAGATTGATATGGACCAGCTCGTTGTCGATCTCCATGCGATTATGCTACAGGCTTATGAACAGGCCAGTAACAATGAAGTCCTACTCCATATCAACAATCTCCGCCCAATCTACAACGCGCTCTTTGAGCAGACAATTCAATGCGCTAAGTTCATCGAAAGCTATGCCAAGAAAAGTTTCACAGGTATATCTGGGCCTCCTTCTCTCTACTTGTTTGACCCTATACATTATCTAGGGCGAATAATCAACAGAAATATATCAGGCGACATCAAAAGAATACAACAGAAATTCGACGACCTTATCAAGGAACTCCATCTAGAAATCTCAAAGGAAGCCTTCGTCGCCGAATTGGCTGAACATAAACATCAGCGTAGGTGGTGCATAATATTGCTCGGAATTAGAAACTGATGACAACTTCAGAAATCAAGACAACTCTTCGCATGCTGGAACCGCCCATGGCAGTAAAATTTGGTCCGAAGTCGACATGCTTACAAGGCACGCGTCTGCGAGTCATCGAGGAAGTAATGACTTGGATCGAGAGATGCGATGGGGGCACACTCTGGTGCAAAGGCATGGCTGGAACGGGCAAGAGTTCCCTTATGGGTACCTTATACGAACAGCTTGTGATCCGTTCTGGCAGTCGCAGTCGCCTTGGTGCCTTCATTCGCTGCGACGGAAAAGAGTTCGCAAACGCATCCAAGCTCATAACCACCATCGCATACTCGCTTTGTATATTTGATGATGATGTCGCGAGCGCTATTTCCCATGCTGTTCAAAAGTTCCGTTGGGTTTCAGCGGCGGTCCCACCATCATCTATACGAAATCAGTTCCGAGTCCTTCTTCAGGAGCCATTGGGATCGGTCTCCGATGCATTGAAAGAGCATCCCGTAGTGGTTATCATAGATGCCTTGGACGAATGTTCGGAGATTTCGAGAGATATGCTTGGAATTCTAGCGGAGGGCTTTGGGTCCATGCTGCCCTTTATGCGGCTCATTGTATCGAGCCGGCCTATCGAAAGCATCACTCGAGTATTTCAGACACAAAAGACTATGGCCGTGATTACCTTGGACACCTCGTCAGAGGACGTGATTCGAGATATACGACTCTACGTTGACGTCCAACTTAACGCTATATACAAGGATCCACTGCTGAAAAATGATGCTGGGGCATTCCAGAACATATGCGAATCACAAAGTGCTGTGGAATTGCTCAGTGAAAGAGCGAACGGCTTGTTTATATGGGCTGTCACTGTTTGCAGTTTCCTGGCCGAATTTCCCTGTGAATCTCGACTTCGAGGACTCTTGAATGCTGAAACCTCCCAGATCACATTGTATTCCTTGACAGCTTTGTATCGGACAGCTCTTCGCGTCATGGTTTCAGATAAACTTGAGAAGGATAAGGACATCAGATGCTGCATTCGTGGTGTGCTAGGGGCTCTTGTAGTTGTGCCTGGTCAAATCACCATTCAGATGCTGGACGATTTGGTTTTCTTGCCCGGAGATCCTTCCGCAGAGGTGGTGTTAGCCAAGTTGGGGAGTATTATTCGTGTTTCTCCCCAGGGGAAGCTTCAAGTTATTCATCAGTCTCTCTACGATTTTCTAACAGACGAGACACAGTGCGGAGAAGAGTGGCGTATTGATGTGGAGGAGCAGAGAAGAAAGCTTTTGCATGCGATCAAGAACTTGCCAAATACCTCGCAAGGAGGAAGCGACTATGCGCGGCTTCATCGCGAACTATCACAGGGGACTTTTTAAGATGATCCTTGAAGGGATGGATGCAAGATTTCAGGCAGACAGTCGGCCCGTTGCCTAAACCGACCATCATCGGATGTACGAGAAGTATTATGTCTACAATAGAATCACCACATTTTCTTCCATCCTCTGCTGTGCTCTTTGCTTGTTCGAATATGAAACATGCACACTGGTTCATCAAAGCATGAGCTTTCCCACTCCTTGATAAGGGCATGTGTAAGGTCTATTTGGACCATCCGATCGTCACCGCTTAAGTTTGAAGGAAGTAAGAAACCCGCAGGAATGTCTGGATCAAGACGATACACTTGTTTCACACAGTAAATGGGCCTCTCACTCACACTCTGCAGAGAGAACTTAAATATATCCACATTTTACTTGTCCAACTTCACAAGTCAATGCAATATGTATAGGTGCTATCCAATTACCCTGAAATCACAGACTCACAGTCGATCTTTTGCTCTCCCACAATGCGATATTCCTCCTTTTGGAAATATCCTGAAATTAAACAGTCTAGGAAACAAAGCCAAGATGTGACAATTTGTTGAGATCATGAAAATTTGTGTGTTTTTGTGGTGGTATGCAGTATATGGAGTGGAAGGAGGTTGCTGGCTGACCTCAATGCTAATATCCTTCTCCAAGTCCAAGGGCTTGTCTGAATCCTCCACTTGATACCCTTCCTGACCCTTCAGCAGTTTCTTCCAAAGCTGCCACTCTCTCTGGCATTCCCACACATTGTAGAAGTCCTGTCAGGCCTGAAGGAAGTTGTTTCAAGCCAATATCTGCTCACACAACCCAGTGACTCCAATAGTGCTGACCCAGAAAGCCTTGTTGAGGATCTCATAAGAATCCTCCATCTCTATTGGCATATTGTCAGCCAATGTTCCAAGCCTTTCTGCCTTGGGACATATCCCTGTCCAACCTCTCATTCACCATTGCTTGCAAGACATTCATAGAGATGTTTTCAGTTTTATGAAGTTCCAACCTTGATGCTTCAAACTCCTTCTGAACAGACACCAGAATAAAATCCATAAAATATTTGATCTTGTTCTCAGAATGGAAGTCATCCACCAAGTCATCCACCCAACTTCTGATGGCTTCCACCTTGTCCTCAGGGCATGTCAGCCTGTCCAAAATTTGTTGCAACAGCCTCAACATTATGTTGGAGTCAGCAGCATCATCCCCTCTGTTGAAAGTACATCTGGCCTTCTTGACACAGCACCATTGGCATGTCTGGAGGATACCACATATGAAGCAGTGGATCTTGTCAGTCTGATATTTATCACATCATTCCAACTCACAAGTCAGTAAGAAACCAGAGCCAGGAAAAGACTCACTATCACCATCACACTCCTTGTCATCAGCCTGGAATTCAAGCTCTATATTTAATCTCTTGGAGCCCAATGGCTCTGGATAGACAAATGCCAGAGCTCATTGGACTCTGACTCAGAATTAGCTATCTCCAGTATATAAGCCATATACAATTATAGTAAATACTCAGTTTGAATATCAACTTGGTTTAGCCAATACTTTGTCTTCACCTCTCATTGTCTTATGTCCAAAGGATTCCACTCTGTTTGGATTATCTTAATCCATCACCACTCCACTCTCTCTGTGAACTCTGCTCTGTATCCAAACCCTTTGGGCTTTGACTCAAGGGTGACATTGCTAATAGCTTTGCCAAACCCACATATTCTGCTGGTTTCCATGTTTGCAATCCAAATCCATCCATCAGCATATTCCTAACAGGTTGTCCAATCTGATACCATTCAGAGGCAAATCCAAGAATCTGCCTATTAATGTTAGGCTCAAGCTGCATGTGATCAACTAGCACATGGTAAGCTAACATGGCTTTATGTTTGAGCCTTC